TTCTTTTTAATTTCTCTATTTCTTTTTCAGATAAATTTTTCAAAGATATTTGGGTTGTTGGAATATTTTGAGAAAGCATAATTTTAGCTATTTGAAAGTTTCTTTTTTCCATACCTTGTTGCATACCTTTTTGAACAAATTATTGTTTTTTCTTAGTAAAAAAGAAGTAGCTTCTTTCATATCTTTATCTTTTGTAATTTGAGTTAATATAATATATTTTTCTTCATCAGTTTTTGTTTGTCTTTTTCTGCCATAGCTCTAAGTATGAAATTAAAGTTAGTACTACCTTAAGTAGATTATAACGCGTGTTTCGTATTACTCGCAAATGATTGTTCATGGCATATCATAAAATTTATCTAGCTTTTTATGCAAATCGGAGTTTTTAACTCTCATTTTCTTATAACTACCTTTAGCTCTGATAGTTTAAAATTTAAAACTTTAGATACATTTTTACTTTACTCTAATTTTTTTAAGTTTAATTGAGCAGAGCTATCATGCTACTTAGGTGTGGTGCTGCAGCAGAGCTACGCATACATCGCCAAGATTCTATACGAGTCGGCAACCAAGTTCGGAGGCCTTGCAATGAAAGCCATTCAGTTTGTGCCTCACAGGGACGATCTCCTCGGCAACCAAGTTCGGAGGCCTTGCAATGAAGGCCATTCAAATGAAAGACATGGAGGAGAAGGGCCTGTTTGTGCAACAGAACGACAGCTTGCGCGACCACATGCAGAGGTCTGGGAACACAGGGCATGGAGGACAAGTTCGGTCGACTTTTTTTCCTTCAGGTGTAGTGCCTGAACAGGCTACCATGGATCGGGGCGTCGCCTTTTTTCCTTCTTTCAATTTGTCTTCAAAAAGACATTTTTCTAAAAAGGGTCAAGAGCTACTCTGCTCAATTAAACTTAAAAAATCTAGACTAAAGTAAAAATAGAAGTATAGCTTCTTTCATATCTTTATCTTTTTTATTTTCTCTATTTCTTTTTCAGATAAACCTGTTATCAAAGATATTTGGGTTGTGGGAATATTTTGGGAAAGCATAATTTTTAACTATTTGAAAGTTTCTTTTTTCCATACCTTGTTGCATACCTTTTTGAACAAATTATTGTTTTTTCTTAGTAAAAAAGAAGTAGCTTCTTTCATATCTTTATCTTTTGTAATTTGAGTTAATATAATATCTTTTTCTTCATCAGTTTTTGTTTGTCTTTTTCTGCCATAGCTCTAAGTATGAAATTAAAGTTAGTACTACCTTAAGTAGATTATAACGCGTGTTTCGTATTACTCGCAAATGATTGTTCATGGCATATCATAAAATTTATCTAGCTTTTTATGCAAATCGGAGTTTTTAACTGTCATTTTCTTATAACTACCTTTAGCTCTGATAGTTTAAAAGTTAGAACTTCAGATGCATTTTACTTTAGTCTAGACTTTTTAAGTTTAATTGAGCAGAGCTATCATGCTACTTAGGTGTGGTGCTGCAGCAGAGCTACGCATACATCGCCAAGATTCTATACGAGTCGGCAACCAAGTTCGGAGGCCTTGCAATGAAGGCCATTAAGTTTGTGCCTCACAGGGACGATCTCCTCGGCAACCAAGTTCGGAGGCCTTGCAATGAAGGCCATTCAAATGAAGGACATGGAGGACAAGTTCGGGTCGACTTTGTTCCTTCTTTCAATTTGTCTTCAAAAAGACATTTTTCTAAAAAGGGTCAAGAGCTACTCTGCTCAATTTCACTTAAAAAATCTAGATTAAAGTAAAAATAGAAGTAGCTTCTTTCATATCTTTATCTTTTTTAATTTCTCTATTTCTTTTTCATCAGATAAACCTGTTATCAAAGATATTTGGGTTGTGGGAATATTTTGAGAAAGCATAGTTTTAACTATTTGAAAGTTTCTTTTTTCCATACCTTGTTGCATACCTTTTTGAACAAATTATTGTTTTTTCTTAGTAAAAATAGAAGTAGCTTCTTTCATATCTTTATCTTTTGTAATTTGAGTTAATATAATATATTTTTCTTCATAAGTTGTGTTACTCATAAAGTAGTGTAATACAAGTCCCCAAAAGATAGAATTATTTTGTAGATGTTGGTTTATAAACAATTTAAATTTAGCAAAAACATATTTTAAACGATTCAAAGCATTTTCAAGCTTGCGAGCTGTATAAATATGTTTCATAGCATAATGCAGCATTCCAATAGGGCTATAATAATTAATCTCATCATCTGACATAGTTCTTACGTTTTTGTTTTTTTTTTTTTTACATAATTACCTGACATAACGTCTTTAGCCTTTTTGGGTCTTTCAAATAAGTCCCAAAGGTTTCTTGCTGCGCAGTATTTTTCTATGCCATTATATAAGACAATAGTGATATACAACAGGTAAGTTTCTATCATTTTCTTTATAAAATCTATCTAGTAAAAGAGACGTATATTTATGCAATCTAAAAGCAGTCCAATAATCTGAATTGGATTGATGCTCGCAAAGCACGTAAATATATGCTGGGTGATTATCTATCTTGTGTTTTCAAACCAAAAACTAAATCGTTGGCTCTTGCCTCAAGTCAAGCTTAATAGAACTAAAATCAAATTAATTTATATCTTGGGGTGCCAAGCAATCTTTTAAGAATTATGTTGCAACATATTTGTTTCCTAAATAATCTTTATAGTTTGTATCGTGTTTAGACCTATCTGATTTTTCATCATCAAGATCATCAAAGTCTTTTGTATCCATATTTACAATAATTTGTTTTACTTATTATTAATTGTATCCCTTATGGTGTAAAAAGCCTATTTGTTAAGCTTTTTATGATCAATAATCTTATCAATATTTTCTAATGCTTTAAGTTTTCTAGTGAGACTTTCTTCGTTTATATCTGTTATCATTGTTTCAAGCTCTTTTTTAGGGCTTCTTCTGTGATGCCCAAAACTTTCATTTTACGTTTGATATGTGGATCTTTCAAATAAGATTCATCACTTAAAAAGTCTTTTATTTTATGTTTGATGCTATTGATTTTATCAACACAAGTAGCAATATTTGATACCTTCTTAGTGCATTCATCTAAAGCTTGTTTCAATATAAAAGCTTCCAAGTGTTTTTTTGGTAAATGTTGTATTGTGCAGCTTTTCCAATTTTTACACGGCCATTCTTCATTGTTTTTAAGCTCTCCATTTGTAATGTATTTTATTCCAAGATTAAGAGCTGAGTAAAACTGTTTCATAGGAATATTTGCATCAATTTCGCTATACATACTCAGGCACACAAATAAAATCAGGCGATTCTTTAGCTGGATAGGGGGAATATCTGATAAATGTTTTTGTGTTTCTTGAAACCTTTTTTCAAGATCCATAATAATATCTACGCATTCAAGCATTTGATGCTCTGTAATAATAAAACGATTGTCTCTTTGATACTTAAGCATTCTGTCTTGCAAAATTGCATTTTGCTGCTTTATAAGAGGGCGGGTGGGTGGGTGGGTGGGTGGGCGGGCAGGCGGGTGGGTGGGCGGGTGGGCGGGCGGGTGGGTGGGTGGGTGGGCGGGCGGGTGGGTGGGTGGGCGGGCGGGTGGGTGGGGCGGGTGGGTGGGTGGGCGGGTGGGTGGGCGAGCTGGGGCGGGTGGGCGGGCTGGGGTGGTGGCTGGGGTGGGTGGCTGGTGGCTGGTGTGGCTGGGTGGCTGGGTGGCTGGGTGGCTGGGTGGCTGGGTGGCTGGGTGCAAAGGTGAAAGCGTGAAAGAGTGAAAGGGTGAAAGGGTGAAAGGGTGAAAGGGTGGCGGTTCCTTAAATGAGCGAGCCCCCATTTTTATTTATAGGGAAAATTCCAAATTCACACCGCCCCCCCCCCCCCCCCGTTTGTTTTTGTGGGAAATCTTCTGAGCCCTCCTGATTGACGGCCCTTTTGGCTGAACGGGATGGAAATTGAAGGAGCCCATCACCACTTTCCCCATGACCTTTTGGACAGAACCTCACCTGGCGCAAGTCGCCCAACAAAGTGCCATCCACGCTGATGGTCATGGCATCCAAGTCCACTTCGGGCTCAAAGGGAAAGCCAGCTGCCAGCACCGCCTTGCTGCCACCTGCCAGAAGCCAGCGAGAAAAGAGACGCAAGGCTTCCACAAGACATCAAAGGCCGGAACCTGAAGAAGAAAGTGCCTTGGGGGGGGAGGGGGGGGAAGGAAATCAGCTTGCCGTTTGACCGATTCACTTTGACTAGTTGGGTTTATCATCCCCAAAATGGCTGATTTCCCGCCGATTCCCTTTGACTGGTGGGTTACAACATCTTTGGGGGAAGAACCACCCCGCCTGTGAGAAGCTGTGTGTCCAATGGTAGCCACTGCCACCGAGTCTCCGACGCAGGACGCCATTGCCAGCGTAAGGACTGTTCAGGCATGAGGTCCGGTCAAAACTACTTGCTTCCCCAAGAAGACAAGGGAAAAATAAGTGAGGCCTCTGGGCTTTGCGGGAAGTGTTTTCTTTAAAGGAGCCTGGGGTCTGATTATTGAAGCCAACTTTGCCCGACCCTGTGTGCTTTTTCACGGGCATGAAGTGCCTCATTTCAGCTCCGTGGAGCCACTGACCCTCTTTCTCGTGCCACCTCATGCTCGGCATCTCTCGCTTTGCTATGAGATTGGACGGACCCACACATCTGCTTGAGCCACACCAAAACCGGAAGACACTCTCAAACAACTCCTTTAGTTTCACCCTGCTTTGGCTTCCTTCCGTGGGATTTGCCGGGGGAACTAGCGGTATCCATGGTCGAGTTGCTCTCCCGTAAAGAACGTTGGACAATTCGTGCGTCCCCCGGTTTTCGCGGAGAAGTTTGGTGACGCCCCCATGTGCCTCCCAAGTGAACGACAAACAAAAAATACTACCTGGAGTCTCCATGACCCTTTAAAAATGCGTCAGTGACCCCATTGTTTTGGGTAATGACCCCATTTTTGTGAAGGGTCATGGAGACTCCAGGTAGTGGTTTTGCCCGAACCTCCTCTCCATCACTTTGTAGTTGTCGCACCTTGCTGCCATCCTCCAACTCGGCCAAGCGCAGAAGCTCCATGTCAGCTTTCTTGCACCTCAGCTGCCCCGTTCAGATTCCCCCGCAAAAACCGCGGGGCTTGGGGAGCCGAAAGGACAAGAATCTGGTCGCGTCGCAATGATTCAGGTCCTGTTTTACGACACCATAGGGTGATGCCCGCCAACGGTATCAATTGGCTGGATTGCCTTGACTTGAAGACTTCAAACCCTTGCTCTGAGTAAGTAGGACACTACCCCTTCCCTCTAAACCACGCATAAAAGAGAATGAGCAGTTGTGCTAGGGCCGCAAGTGTAGCTGAGACCGTGTGTCAGAAAAAGCTTGCACCGCATGACCATTCTGGAGATGTCAAGACCCTTGTCGATGGACATTGTATCTGCCAGACTTATATTTGAGCTGACTGCCATCAACAGCTAACATTTCAAGGGGTCATTCAACCTTCTTTACCATATGGCCATGGGTCAAAAGCCAAATCGTACCCCCAGTGAACATCCTAATCCAACCACCAAAGTAGGTTCTAAAATGGGTGGTGAATTCACCAACCAAAATGGGATCCCCTTGAACGGTTTTGACCACCACAGCCACATAGTGCTGACAGGGATTCACTCTACGTCGCTTGCATCTGCCGAACCGATCGGCGAATCGGCGCCGAGGGCCCCACACGGACTCAGAGTCATCTTCATCCCAGGTGATAAGGAACGTGCCATCACCATTGTCCTCATCGGAGAAATGCATCAGTTGCACCATCTGGTCAGAGCCAGAGAAGTCGACTCTTTCCCAAAAAAAAACAGCGACAGGGTGAAATGGGAGTGGCAACGCGACCGCGAGTTGCCGCAAAAACGACGCGCGCCAGCCTGCTGAACGGTGGCTGGGTAGTACTGCTTGTCATCTTCATACAGAGCCTGCCATCAGTTTGAATTCGGCGCAACTTGTGGTTCTCTGAAACAGCACGTCTTCCAAAACCTTTGATCTATCGGTGAGCGCAGTAAAATGGCTTGAGAATAGCACATTGGCAAGCTCTTGCCACGCAACTGGCATGCAGCGCACCTCTTTTGATCTCAGGTTGGGTTCATTTGGCAAAAGACTCTGCGATAGAGCTTTCGTGCAAGAGTTCAGAATGAATGGGAAGGCAACACAAGCTGTCTCTGCGTTGCCTCGTCTCTCAGCTGCCTGAATTCGATTGTGCATTGCCACCGCCATGACTGACATCAGGATTGGGCGCCTATTTCCTGTTGAAACATTTTTCAACCCCCATTAAACATCCTCCTTTGGGTCCCTTTTCAGGGCAGGATCTGGTTGCCTAAACATGCCAGGCAGGATTTCTACCTCGGTTTACATTGGCTTGGTGGCTTGAAACGATTTTCTGCCTGGCAGCGTGTCTGCAGTTGTTTCAACCCAATTCTCTACCCAAACCTCCTTGTGGTTCCCCTTAGGGCTCGCGTCTAGCCGAGGTCAAAAAATCTCCTGCCCAACCCTGACTCAACCCATGCCATGGGTATGCCAGGCCTCCTGAAAGACAGCACCGTGACTAGGACTCACGGCCCGACTCGGGGGAAACCAAGACACATCTTCAGCTTCTGCTTCGTACGCAGGGGCGAGGGGTGTGGGGGACAAAGGGTTTTAAGGGAAGGCTGCTTTCTGATACTGATGGGTGACATCGAGATCCAGTTCGCACCCTTCAGAACCCCTGGGATGAAACTCGATTCCCCAACTTGCAAATACCAACAAAGAATGGTTTCAACCATATGGTTTTAAAGGGGTGCAGGATTTGGTCCATCCACAGTCTTCAGCCCGGCGCCTTCAGTTACAAGTGTAGTAGGAAACCGGGGGTTTCTTACCTCTAGGCCTCACATGATGGGTTTCCCCTAGTTAGCAACTATATAGTGGTCAACGAAAGGACTGGGCAGCAATAGGTACCCAACATACCCTGCTAAATGGAAACAAGGACAACCATCTGCGACCCCCTGATGGTTTTCCTTTTGCCCCATACCCATTTAGGAGTATGATTTTACTATCATAATCATTCAATCTCTAAGATATGGGGGTTGATCAACATTCCCGGCCCCAAAATGACCATGGGCAACTACCTTCACGGCTTCCGCGGGAATCCGCACAAGAGGGTTGCCTAAATTCTGAGGGTCGATGACCATCCCGGCCAATAACTAAGGCGAAACAAGAGTGCCGGTTCAACATTCGAAACAAAAAACCAACAAAAACTGGCTCTGTTACACACCCCTCCAAAAAATACGAAAGGAGCTTCAAGGAGCTGTTACACACCCTCCTTTCAGCTCTGTTGCTGATTTCACATGGTTGCCACGAAACGCAGAAAAAAACACTGGCTCTGTTACACACCTCTCAGCCAAAATGCACTGCCACCTAAAGGAGCTTTTCTAGGTCCTCCAGTAGAGAGGTTAGAATAAGGGTACCCTTTTTTCTGTAGTCTATTTTAGAGGAACCCTCCCAACCAAAAAAAGGGGTTGAACAGGGCACCACTGGGGGACCAAGTTTTGATCCCTCCCAAAATGCGAAAGGAGCTTGAAGGAGCTGTTACACACCCTCCTTTAAGCTCTGTTACTGATTTCACATGGTTGCCATGTAAAGGAGCTTTTGATCAATCATGATCTTGGAGACCCCAAATTGGGCCACGACGTCATGGTGCCGACATCTTCGCTCACGCGCGGCACTCAGCAGCAGCCGCTGGCCTTCTTCTTCCTTACGGATCCGACCGAGGAGGCAACGAGGCAAGTGCCGCGCTTTCCAGTGCCAAACGAAACCCCTTGCAGTCCAAAGAAGCGGACCCTGTAAGAGTAGCCTGTCTGTTTGACGAGGGAAATGAAGAAACCCTGCAAGGGAAGGGTACCATCTGCTGGTTGGCTTTGAAAGGCAAAAATCGTGTTTTTCCCCAAACTTGAAGAAGAAAAGGGCAACAATTGAATGTGTTTCCCCGAACTTAGAGGATAAATCATAGTTTTTCTCCCAAACCTGAAGGATACAAGGGCCAAAAGGGTGAGCTAAGTCTTGCCAAGGCGTCTTGGTCTTCTTGGCCTTGGACGGGAGGCTGGACCCGGTCTTCATGGGGGCGGGAGCGGAAGAGCCTGTGACCACGAAGCTCTCGCGTGCCTCGTTGGATCGCAAGCGGTCCGGATCTTCGGAGGCGGCGGCTCTCCGGGGAATTCATGCGGCAAACATATGGCCGTTCAGATTTCCTGGAATGATTCGATTCCCCAACGTAAATACAAACAAATACTGGTTTCAACCATGGTTTTAAAGGACTGCAGGATTCGTCCATCCACAGTATATTCATGCAACGAATTCATGGCATTTTGAAGGGGAACTCGCAATTTTGCAGTGAAACCAGTAGCCACTTTGATGGGAAACCTGAATCGGCCATTTTGAAGAGACACTAGCCATTTTGAAGGAACGGCAGTCATATTGAAGGAAAACCCCACAAGTGAGCAAACATATGGATGTGGTGGTCAAAACCGTTTTGGGATCCCATTTTGGTTGGTAGGTGAATTCACCACCCATTTTAGAACCTATTTTAGTGGGGAATGGGATGTTCACTGGGGGTGGCCATATAGGTCCCCCCAAGGTAGACTTGGCTAATTTCCCCTTTGTGAGAAACCAATCTCTGGGTTTGAGACTACCTGGAGTCTGCTTCTGACCCTCAAAAAATGGGTCAATGATCCCGTTATGTTGGGTGATGACCCCATTTTTGTTAAAGGGTCATGGACACTCCAGGTAGGTCCATCCAACACTCTTTGCTGATGGGTCTCTCGAATTTTCATGACCGACCCAGCAATCTGGAGACACTGTTTGATAGTGTGCAGGCTCGCAAAACAGGATCGACAAACCACTCAGATAAGTTCATCCAATTTAGCACAAGCGACGGCGCAATTGCGTAGTTACGAAACACGTAATCAAACAAAATCTTGGAGTTTTGCAAATACGAAATGCGCTAGCCACATATGCTCGCCCGAAAGCATGCCCAAGGCCGCTTGAATCAACATTAGTCTCAAGATAAGTTTGCTGATGTTGTGCAAAAGGGGATAACCCAAGGCAAAAGAAGACACGAGGGCACCCTTTTCAGGGATCAACAAGTCCCTGTCTCCAGTGGGAACTACCAACAAGCTAGCCTACTTCACATGGGTGTCTCTTTCAAGGAGGGGTTGTTTCAAAGGACAATTCCTACACACACACACACTCACACACTCACACACACACACACACACACACACACACACACACACACACACACACACACACGCATACCCGTCGAGCCCGTTAGCTGTTCCCAACCTTAAAAGTTCACAGTTCGCCCTGCCTTTTTGTTGTCGACCAAGGGAAACCTCCCAGCCGCGTTGAGACAAACCCACAGTTCGGGTTGTGCCCAACGGGTCCGGGCTTGCGGTTCGATTGATTTTTGCACGAGCAACTCACTTCCTCCAAAATGGTGGCTTTCCTTTTGGTGTTCCTTTAAAACCACCAAAACAACTTGCTGGTTCTCAGGGAATGAGGGAACCCAAGAACCATAGGCTTTGCTTTCAGACCCCCTTCCGGTTCATTCCTTCAAACCCGGGGGGATTCCTTACCCCCCCCCCAAAAAAAAAAGAAAGGACGCCCTGAGTTTGTACAAAACACAAAAAACCAATGCTCTGCAAGTGAGGACAGCTGGCATGATCTTGTTTTTTGTGCGTGCTAGAAATTATGATTGGGGTATAGCTAGAATTTGTGAAGAATTTGACAAAGATACAAGTAGATTTAGTTGACATATAAACCCGAATTCTTCAAACAAAGATCAACTCGAATTGCCAATCAAAACATGACAAACAAAAACGCACTGCTCTCAATCACCGCCTCCTGCTCTCAATCAAAAGGCTACCCCTCTGAAAAACCCAGCACCCACACCGCCACCCCTGGGCGGGCGCCTTGTCGGTCATGGAGTGGTGCGGTGCTGGGGCCGTGTGCCCCTCCGGATGTGGGGTGACCATAAAACCCGGAGGCAGCGCCTCGCCCGGGGCGAACCACTTGCCCTGCCCATGGTCCAGTCCTGCGATCTCGCGATAAGCGCGCGACACGCGCGCGATAGGCGCGTTGGGGGACATGGTGCCATTGATTGATATTCCATTTCGGCCACCAGTTTTGGCCATTGTTTTTTCTCATTGACTGGTGGAAATATCATCTTTGTTGAGGTTTTCCACCCAATGGTCATTCCATGCATATATTTTTTGGAGTTGGCACATACCCCATGTTTCTTGGGAACCCAAAAAGAAACCGTTGCCCATTTTTGGGGTACCTCCAAAAAAAATACACCCATATGGGTGTATCTCAAAGGGAACCTCCCAAAACGGCTTCCAAATTGTTTCAACCAATCAAAAGGGGATCTAACAAAGGTCTTTATATGTGCTTGAAACATCCCCAAGAAAACTAACTCACTTTGAAGAGGACCAACAGGTATGCTTAAAACCAAAGGAAAGGAACCGCTCTTTTGACCATTGCACACGTGGATGAACGATGGTCAATACTCAGATGTTCTCCCATGACATTGGAATTTGGTGAAAAACCACCCCCCAGTGAGTATGCCCAATGTCACCTTTACTGCAGATGGCAGCAACAAAGTGACCGCTGCTGCGTCAAAATAGAAACTCGGAGTCCCAAAATGGTGGGTGGCCGCTTGCTGTCCTTTCTCTGGCAAACAACAAATAACCCATGTAAACCAACCAGAAAACAAATAACAACAAATAACCCATTTTGATGTTCCATTTAATTTACCCAACAGAAACACGGCGAGGGCAACCCATTTTTGGGAAACCCGGGAGACTCAAACCGGTGGTTGACCCGGAAGTGGGTTTGTGGGTTTGTCTCCAAGAGACCCCTCAAAAGTTGGTTTCCTTTCATCCCAAAAAGCAATACACACACACACACACACACACACACACACACACACACACACACACACACACCCCCAAAACCCGCAGGGTTCATTCTCAAACCAGGGGTTGACTCTTAAAAAGGGCTTCAGCCAACCCCTTGCTTAAACCTGTTTTTGCCCGACTATGCCATGGAAATCTTGCAACTCCCCCCCCCCCCCGGTGTAGCAACAAAAGCCATGGGGCTGGGAGATCAAAAGGAGCCTCTGGTTGAAGGACCCTCCCCATTACTTGTGTTCTCAAAGGCGAACCCTTGAAATCCCTAATTTTACGTTTTCCCCTGCAAAGCAACCCAAAAACGGCACACGCCCATTCCGGGTGATGGTCCTGCCGGTGCAGGGCTGTACATCTGCGGGGCCGCTGAGTACTGCATTTGCGGTTGGTAAGCATCCATGGGCTGACCGTAGGGAGACTGAGAGTACATCATCTGAGGCTGTGCCATGCCATAGCCGGGGTCAACCATGTACCTTTCCGACGTCGCAAACAACTCCAGGTTCTAAAGATGGGTTGCCACGCTAGAAACAAACAGAACCAAACAATTGCAACACGCAGTGTCAAGAACAGTGATGCATTTAAGCCAGAGGTAAAAACAATATAACACACACACACACACACACACGTCAAGCACAGTCAAGGTGCTGAGGCTGCTGGTCGTACTGGTACTGAGGCTGCTGGTCATACTGCATGTACTGCATGGTGGGCTCCATCTGGTAGGCCATGGCTCACTCAAATGAATACAATGGTCACGAGAATTGAGGCTCAAATCAGGCTGCCACAAACTCTCGCTGCGCGTCGCATGTCCACAAGTGCTGACCACCCAATTTCCTGTGCGCCAGAAAACAGCAAACCAGTGACCGACAGGTTTTGCGGATGGTTTTCAGCGGCAAACAAAACTAAAACCGCTCACTTGACATGGTTCTGCAGCTAGGCACTTTAGAGGTGGTTTCAAAACAGGATTGTATCCTTTTTGTCTGAATTTCTTGAGAATGCGACTGCCATTCGCATGGCTCGTGGCCCTTTCGTAGGATGCCTGGACCTTGTCCCCCTGCTTGAAGTGGGGCTCCTCGCCGTCGTAGGTGAACCATGGCCTGAGAATGCCTCGGGTCTGGATGGAAAAGCCACCTTTTGAGTGGTAAGAGTGGATGTCTGATTTGTGTTTTTCTGATTCATGCGGATACCATCCTGGAGGAGGATCATGCAGATTGAACAAATCCAGCTCGCCAAAGTCCTTCGGTCAAGGGCTCCAAGGCCATGCAAGTGGATGTCTGAAGCATGTGCATGGGTATCAATCTCAAGTGGGAGCCAATTGGTTGCCATCACTGCGGGATTTGCCCTCCCCGAGATGATTCCATGGAAGCTGCGGAACGGACCCCTGAAGACTTGCTTTGATTGGAGATCTTCTGGGAGCTTCCAGGTTGGTGTGAGTGAGCGTTGCCATGTTTGGCTAAAGGGAAACCAGAAGACGACCAAGCTTTTTAGGGAGCTTGGTTGAAACACACCCGACTTTCTTGGGCAACCTCAGTGTTTTTATACCACCCAGCGCTTCCAGGCAAGCCACTACAGTGGTAACCGGAAGAAGACATCCATGGCAAAACCAAAAACTACCGCTAAGAAACCCGAAGGGTTGCCTACTATAGCGGTATGGGTGTGGCTCAAAATTAAACAGGTGGGGCAAACCGCAGCTTTTGGTCAATGTTTCCACTTACCAGGGCAGCCCAAATTTTGGGTACCGGTTTTTTGAGCCACCGCATCTGAAATCACTGGGCCAGGTTTGTTGCCCAACGCCCGAGTTCTCGCTGAGGACCAGGACCATTGCGCTCGGCACCGATATCGACGAAGGTGCCAAAACTGAAAGTCCTCGTTGCACCCTGTGGACTACTCCACCCATGATCTTAACTTGTTTGTTGGCTTTGTGCCTCTTTTTTTGGGGAAGGGGGGGGGGCGGACTTGTTGACATGGTGATAGTTGAGTCTTAGTTGAGGCAGAATTCGCCAAGAACATACCCAATCATTGCTTATCACCAAACAAGGCCCACCCAAAATGGATACCTGGAGTCTCCATTACCCTTTAAAAATGGGTCAATCAACCCATTTTGGGCAATGACCAACCATTTCTTATTCCGGTCAGAAGGAGACTCCAGGTACCCATCACCTGCAAAACCGATGGCCCCAAGCCGAAGCCAACGAGCTCCGTCCGTTTTGGGACGCGCCACTTGTTGGCCGGCATCGAGCATTGACACGACTTTGTGTGGTCCATTTGCTCATCCTGAGACAAGCTCATATGGCCATGGGTCAAAAGCCCGTACCCCCAGTGAACATCCCAATCCCAACTAAAATAGACTAAAATCGGTGGTGCACCTACCCGAAAATGGTGCTGTTGGTTTTGACCCGTGCACAGCCATATCATGCTTTTCTTGCATCGCCATCCGCGTCCTGTCCACAATGCCCTGGAACTTCTGCCCGCTCCTGGAAAAGGTAAACCACTGGCGGACAAGTGGGCGTGCATCTCTCGAGGGTGCCCTGTTTGAACACGTGAGCACAAACCCCCATGAACATGAGGTCCAGCACAGGATGTAGGCCCAGATGGGTGTTTCTTTCTGAGGGTACTCTTTTCGGCATGGAAATCCAAAAAACACTCAAGCTCATGTTGGGCGTTCCCTCATGCCATCAGCACCACTTGGGATAGTTTCCCTAATTTGAGTACGTCAAAATAGGGGACCCAAGAAAAATGGTCGTTCTCAGATTCCCTTGAAACCGCCTGGAAAAAGAGTACCAACTGAAACGAGCAAAAACACCACGTTCTCGAAACAAATTGACGTGGCGCCCCTCCAACATGGCGGGTGTCCTTTTGGTTGCTCCTGAAAACCTCCGGAAAAACGAAACCAACTCCAAACACACACACACACACACACACACACACACACACACACACACACACACACACACACACACACACACACACACACACACACACACACACACACACACACACACACACACACACACACACACACACACACACACACACACACACACACACACACACACACACACACACACACACACACACACACACACACACACACACACACACACACACACACACACACACACACACACACACACACACACACACACACACACACACACAGCGCAAACACAAACACAAACATAAAGGCACACACACACACATTTGGGTGTGAAGGCAGTTGGACCCCAAAAATAAGAAGCGGCTGTCGGTGTTCCTCTAGTTTTCCCTTTTTCGGGTGTCTGTTTTTAGGGGACCCCCCCCCCCCAAAAATGGCTTTCGGTTTTCCTGTCCGCTTCCCTTTGCCTGCCACCCAACAACCAGCACCCGACTCCCGACGCCGGACTCTCGACTCCTGAGGTCTGCCAGGCGGATCGGTGGGCTGGAAGGCTTCATGTCCTTCTCCCTGCGACAAGAAGTCGCTGGGGGGGGCAAGGGGGGGGAGAGGAGGGTGTTGGGAGGTGTTTTTCTTGGGGAAACGTGTCTTTAGGATTCTTTAGGGCCAAAAGGTGCCCAGTGGATCCATTTGCCTGTGGGTATAACCAAGCTCTTGCCACCCCATATATATATATATAAACAGGAACATAGGTGGTTACCTACTATAAGGGTAGCTGGGATCCAGTGGGGTGGCCTGACATTCAAGAAGTATCAGAAAATTGAGGGCAGAAGATGGCTTCATCAACCAGATTTAGTTCTCTTGCGATGGCTTGATACGTGGGATTTATATGCTTCAGGGGTTCAAATGGCAATTCGAAAATCGGATCAGAAATTCAATGTCTTTACCCGGGTTGTGCTCTGTGCATGCTGAGAGCAGGACTCTAGCTCGTACTCACAACCTGGACGCTGCTCGCCATCTCGCAGCAACCCCGTTCGGCGCAAATGAGCACGCAGGAATTCAGTAGGGAAACCAAAGGAAAACAAACCAATTTGGGGGTGCTCTCAAACAAAGACACGGCCATTTGCTACACTTGTGGTTTGGTCAGATTGCTCGCAATCCAAAAGGCACCTGAGTACTCTCTGAGCATCACACCATCCTCTTCCCACATGATGGTGTAGGTGCCAGATCCATCCAGGCTCTTGACCCTGGCCTAGCGGGCCCGAAATGATTGCGGCTCGAGATCTCGAGATGCGGCCGCTTTGCTCAATCTAAATCAATCGTTGCCAGGTGTCGTGGTGGTCCTCTCGATCAATCCGAAGTTCTGAAGCTTTTCCACTTAGTCATGGAGGAGGACCGGACCGTTTCAGAGTCGAAACTCTTGAAAAGGCCGGTGGTCTTCCAAGACCGTTGGGGACCCGGAACAATTCAGCAACTGGTTCTTTAGGGGGTGTCCCATGTAAAAGGGAATCCATGTCACTGTTGAAAACACCCGCACCAGAGAATCAAATCGAGGTCGACACGAGAGCGCCCAAATAGGCTTTGATATAGCCGCAACTAAACCAAACAGAATCGCCGCCAATAACAAATGGCCCCTTGCAGGGTTTCGGTTTTGGGCACTCGAAAAATCTTGCCAGGGCACCGGATACCACGTCTCTTCTTCGTGATACAGAGCCTCTACTTTGTCGCCTGCCTCAGGTGAGCGACAGATATTTCTGCGACCGCTCTTCAGGACAGCATGGAGTGCAAGAGCACCATTGGGTTTTGTTGGCTGACATGCCGGTGTGTCTCCAAATGTGGTCGCTTGCCTATATTCTCTTCGGCCCCCAAATGACCATGGGTAACTGTCCAATTCAGCAGGACATATCATGTTCTTTGTGGTTTTCCCTAATGGTCATCCCATGTAAGGACCTTTTGATGAAGCCCCATGTCCCAAACACACAATACTGAACACAAACAGGATGCTGTGACAACGAACCTCAGGTGAGCAAGGCTCGGCATATGGACCAAGCTTGATTGCAAGCAGGTTGCGGAGTAGCGATAGGCTTTGTCTGCGCGCTGAATCAGCCTGCGCTTGGGTGGCAGAATTTGAGCAGTCCAAAATCCAATTGTCGTTTTGGACAAGTAGATAGCACATGATGGCACTGACAAATGACTGGAAGCAAACTGAACCCAATGAAACCCATGTGTTGTTAACGTAGCTGATCGAAATCGGATACCTACGGTTATGCAACTCACCCACACAGCTTTGTCATCATGTGCCGGGCCTCCAATCATCAGCTTTCTGGTTTTGCTCTAGTCCATCCTGCACAGGTGCTTCTCCAAATAACTGGCCCCGATTGACCCCTCCGCAAGTCCCAACATGCGCCTGCGAAACAAAAAGGACAATTGGCTCTGAGTCTTAATGGTTGGAAGACCCAGATGCAAATCCCAAGTCTTTCCCCCCCCCCCCCTCGTTTAGTCTCAAGTCTTGGTCCTGCCAAAGGATCAGAAAGCTCCCGTCGCCGTTGTTGCACTGCACCACCGCCTAGTCACCACTCTGCCATGGTCAGCACGCCCTAAGTCAAGAAACCCCGGCACTTCGTGCCTTACTCCTAGAAGATCTTTCGACCATGGCGCAAAGGCAGGTCCTTTCTTTGGGAGTCCAAGAATGAACAATACCCTGTCGAATGACTTTGAAGGGAAACCAACCAAAGACCCGATTTGTGTGGCCCAGTTTACTATACTAAAAAGAATCCTACGCTGGGAGGCTCTTCCATTTACCCTCCCTCCAACAGCCATGGACATTAGAAGACGCTTGGAAAAGGATTCCGGTTGTTGGCCTGAGGCTATGCGGGTTTCAGGTTGGTTTAAATGGACACATAGAAAGGAAAAGAACAAAGAAGGGTCCATTTCGATCCTGTCTTTTTTAGGGCACCCTTTTTTTTGGGGGTTTCCCTTTGAAACCACAAAACAGAGGTAGTGACTCAAAAGAAGACCCCCCTTTTTTGGGTATCCCTTGAAAGCCACAAAACAAAGGTAGCGACTCAACAACAAGGCGAGCCACTTCAAACCCCGCCTCCCTCTCCCCTTCTGTGTGCATCGCCATCACCTGCGCTAGTCGAGTTCGGTATGTCAAGATGGACTTCGAATTTGTTGGGCCTCCTGCCGAAGAAACCAACCCACAAAAAGGGTACCCTCCAAAAAAAACAAAAGACCCACATGACACAACCAAAACAACACAAAAACCATTGGTCCCATCATTTACTCAGAGGTTGATTTCTGTCAACCACTCTTTTGAGAATGCCCCAACCGGCAAAAAGCAATGCCCAATCACTCCAGAAGCAAAATGGCACAATGCACATGCCCATCGAGTGCAGCTGAGTTCCGTGAGCACGGCCAACCTAGAAAAGAACTCATATGGCTCGCATTTGTTGGTCCCATGGGAAAGGAGTCTACAGGCTTCCTTAAATGATACATCAAGATCCAACGGCTTAAAAGGACCCCTCTAAACCAGCGGGTATTGAAGTTGTTTTGCTTTGAGTGGCTCCAGGTATTAGTATCCAAATTGACGGACCCCGACCTAGCCAAATTTTAACGGCCAGGGTCCCGTTGGGACTGAAGCGTCGAGTCTGGTAGGGAAAGCAGCTGTTTAAAACGAAGCTTTGCCGACATGGGTACCAAAAGGACATGTATCTGTATGAGGCAAAGGGAACCCAACATGAAATCAAGTCCCAAAAAAGCCGACAACCCATTCGAGGAAATGGGCGTGCCTTTGTTTGGAGTTGGTAGCCTCCTTTGGGAAACTTTTTAAAGGGAAACCGAAAGAACCACCGTTGTGCCATATTGTTTTTTTTGTTGGGTGGGGGCTCCAACCTTCAACAAGAAACACGTCCGAATGGACCGATTCCTTTTTTGATGACCTCTCAAAGCCCGAGCGAAGCGGCGGCGAGCCTTGTCTCCCACTCGGAAGCTTGCACTGGCTGCGGCAGGCGATGCCTGGACTGAGGGCGGCAATTTTTGAACGGAAGCTCCCAAAGTCCGGACCCACTCGGCGAAACCAGTGGAACTTGCAAAGTCTCCATCACAATGGTTGTTGAAAGGTCAACGGTTGTTGAAAGGTCAAACATAGTTTTAATCCAACTGGCTAAGAATATATATATAATATAATATAGACCAACTGGTTTTCATTTATATGATTAGGCCAACTGGCAAAATATCTTTGAAAGGTCTATTCCCTTGTAGTGGCTTGCGGCTCTACGTTTCTCATTTCAAACATATCGAGCCGTGTCCCGGCTTGGGGACGAAGGCTTTCACCTGCCGCTCGGTGGTTTGGACGCTGGTGCACTTCGTAGTTGAGCCGCGAACTGGAAACACACATCCCCAAAAACAAAATCCAAACCACCAACCCACTACCTCGCACAGGGGTGGCTTTATTTCAGATCACCGGATCCAACCGGAGCTGGCCGAGTCCAGCAAAATTCATCGAAGCTGGGCCGCGGGCCTGTCTTGCAGCTTCAAGACGAGCCTGCAGAAGAGCTATTTATAATCTGAGGGCCTAAATTACGTAAGCACTTCCCGAGTGGATGGGCCGAAAAGTTCAAACTTGCTGTTGACTACTAAAAGCCCAAAAGCACAAAGTTCAGGAACTCAGGAAGTGAGATTAGCACTGTGCCCCAAGGGTCTCGATTGATGTTGGGGCCTTATTTTCTTCGAGGGACCCTGAGGAATTTGTCGGGGTTCTCCATTGGAGGGTCCGGGGGTCTGCACTGGGAGGGGTCATGACCCTTCGGGTGGCATGCCCTAAAACCAATCCCCCCCTGCCCCACGCGATTTCTTCTGGGTGCCAGACCACCAACTCAGCCTTGCGCCCGGTCTTGGTTAAGCCCAGCTGGCTCAGCTTCTCCTTTCCAGAGCCCAGATGCGTGGATTTCCATGGGGAAAAACAGGGCATCCTTTTTTGGTTGGCTGACTTCAAAGGGACACCCCTGCCCAATAAAAGGAACAAAGGGCCCCACTGGGCTGGGAGAGGACTAAGCCTTATTTCTCACCCCGAAAGCTGAATCTGTTGGCCAGCATCGGTAGCGGTAGAGATGTCGAGCAGCTGATTGGAAAAAAGAATAGGATGTCAAGCCAGCACCCTCCAAGGGTTGTCAATTGGTACCCAAAATGGCTCAAACAAGGGCACATGAGGACAAATGGACAACCCTTTGGAGAGTGCAGGGTTGAACTGTCTGCTGGCGCGCAACCACCATTCCCCAAAAGTTCCCGGCTTCGAGGTACCAAAGAGCAGCTGAGTCTTGGAACATGTCCTTGAGCTGGCTTACCGTGAGTCTGGAGTAGCCTGGCTGCAAAACGAGCATCCACTGGCAACTGTATTTGCAAGCCCGCAACCTCCAGAACTAATGACCCTGATTGACTTTGATTGCGGAGAGGTGTCCCACTTTAAGGGGAGAATCCTTCACTTTCTCAAGGACCAAGTTTAGGGGAGAATCCTTCACTTTCTAAAGGACCAAGTTTAACCAAGTTTACGGAATCCGGGGCCAAACATGCTACCAGATTCCCTCTTGTGATTGGAGCACAAATGGGTTCGTCTCTTTGTTGAGGAGAAACCTTTTAAAAAACCAAAGTGGAAACCAAAGGACAAAGAAAACGTTTTGGGAGGAGTCCCCTACCAAAAACTACACCCCCAACGGGTTGCTTGGTGACATCAGCAAGCTGATCACGTGGCCTGACGGCGAAGTGGCCGCCTGGAGCAGACCCGGGGGATTTGTTTTTGGGATCCGTGGCATGTCTAAGGTCTAGGTGTGGTCGTTGGGCAAATGGCTATCTAAGGGTCCCGCTGGATTTTGGGGCTTCAACATCTGATTTTTTGCTTGGAGGCTCTCTGAGGAATTGGTCGCTTTGGGTTCTCCATTGGAGGGTCCGGGGGTCTGCATGGGAGGGGTCATGACCCTTAGGGGGGTGTCTTGGCTCAAGATTGAACAGCTGGGGTTACGCAGGATTTTGTCTTTAAGATCCATATACCAAGGTGCCATTTTGGGAACCATTCTTGAGCCAAATAGATGGGTGTGTCTTTTGCTTGGTATTTGGTGGTCGTGTTGAAGGGAAATCGAAAGGAAACCAACAGTGTTTGGAAAACCGATTCCTATGAGCCAAACCCAACTGGCA